AAGGCTGGGGTCTGGGGGGAGGCAGTGGGGGGTGTGGGGGGAGAAGGGGTGACAGGGCCAATGATGCATCACTGAAGAACCAATCAAAATCAGCAGCATCAAGCCCCAGCAGCGGCGATACCGCAATCTCCGCAGTGGCAAAGGCCCTGACCTACCCGCTACGGCGGAAGTCATCGAACAGCAGGCCCCGCGCATGAGGAGAGCTGAGCAACGAAGGCGATGAAGTGCATATGTGGATGTTTCGATTTTTTTTGGGGGTGGGGCGGGAGATTTGGGTGTGGGTGAACTTTGGAGGTGCGAGGGAAAGATGGGCTGTGATTCTTGGAGCCTCCCATTGCAGACGAATTCGGCAATGTCTCCTGTCAGCTGCTTGATATCAAATGCTTCAAGCCAGTCCGGCAGCAAGTCTGACTGGTGGCCCGCGTGAGTGAGCCAGCTTGTGGGAAGGTTGAAGGGGCCAAGGGTTGCAGGGTTAAGGCACGGAGCCGACCCAACCTTTTTCGCATGGCAAATGCCAAATGGAGCACTGGCAGCTTGCACGTATGTTTCGAACGGCTGCACATTGACCTTGGGAAAATCAGTCAGCCGCAGCTTGTCTATGCCACCAGGCAAACTGTTACAAACGGCAAGTCTACAGCACCGGACGAAGCTGTTTGGCTTTAGTTTTTTTGGCCTCTTGGGTTTGACTGGCTTTGTTGGAGGCTGGCTTGGCTTTGTTGGCATATTATACCTGTATACATAGATGTATATAAATGTGGATACTTCAGTATCCACAAGTCGTGTATATACGTAGAATATGTGTATATATATAGACGTATATGCGGAATACCTGCATGCACATACCTGTAGTTGCACTAGTCAGTAAATAGGAAGCTGATTGCCCATCTATCCGAAGAGGCAAGGACATATTGTGAAGCGATGCCAGCCTTTTTGTGACATGTTTCATGTTTGCGAAGGGATGCCTGAGGTTCACACGGGGAAAGTTGGGCGGGCCGACCAATTTCCACTATGAGTTTGATACTGCTGGACAACTTTCAAATGGGTTGCACCTTGTTACGATGATGATGACGGCTGCTTTTCTTTTGGCTGCTTGTCGAGATCTTGCCGGCACACAAAAAAACACCTGAACCAGACCCACCCCTCGAGTCATTTGATGAGAGGAGAAAGCAAGCCATGGCAGCCTATTTGTGACTGGTGACCACCTGGGAATCATAGGGTCCCCTTCTTAGGGACTCATGGCTTTTGGAGGGACTATGGCGCCCAGAAAGGCTCCGAATCCCATATTGGATCGAGCAGTAAGCCGGGCCATAAGGAAACCCAGTATTTCACACGCAGGTGTTTCACAGAGTTGTTGAAGGGTCACGTACAAGCAGTTGATTGTCAACTTGTGAATGCTGGCATCCTCGAATGACGTATGGCTTAAAAACGGAACAGAGCAGAAGTCACTGAAATGTTACGCTGAAGCTAAAAACATCAGAACAGTCACAGCGTCCATTTTCACGTCCATGTTCATGTTACATGCCCAAATGTAAGTTTGTGAGAGCCCCTGAAATGTCACCCTCGCGCTTTTGGCTGAGGACCTGATCGCGCGAGACGTGGGAGAGCCCGGAGATGGACCTGGCTGTAAGGGGGGGAAGTTCGGCCAGATTCGGAGCCCAGCAATCATGATGCCATAATGGGGTTTCTATGGCACATGTCCAAACAAATGAAGGAAACTGTTGAAGCTGCCTTGCTCTCGATATCTGGCTAGGGTTTGCGGACTCCTTGTGCGCCCAGGGTTGCTTGCCCAGCGCCATTTGGCTCCTCCAACGTATGAGCCCGGAGCGAGTTTCTCTGCCTGACATGTGTGGAGGTGTCAGGCTGACAGCTGTGACAGACCAGACGCTTCCGCCAGTGGCACTTTGACAGCTGTGACGGACGAGGCTGCTGCCAGTGGCGCGGCGTTTGACCGCTGTGACAGACCAGACCCGGGGTGGCCGTGATGCAGCAGGGGCACTGCAAGGTGCCGGGCGCTTTCGCTGCTTGGCAAGAAAGACGCAGACGCTCGCAACTGGCCTGCTTCCTGCCTCCTTCCTGCGGCAAGGGCTCTTCCTAAGTGCGCTGACGGCGTTTTCCATTGCGCTTTTGTCGGGACCTGGAATGTATCAGATTCTAGTGAAAAGTGGCAGCTGATAAATGTGGAACGCATTTCAGCCCTTTGCTGCCGTCCGGGGATGATGGCGCTGTGGTGACGTCAGGCGGGCAGCCCAGTACATGGTACAAGTGCCCAACACTGCTGGGTCGCTTTGGAACAACTTTGGCGATTGCGCTGAGCACTACAAGCTGGGCCAGCAAGCGGCAAAGAAAGCAGGAAAGTGGAAGACACGTCTCTTTCATCTTGCTCTGCCATTGCGCAACGTGCAGCAAACGCGCGTTTCCGTCTCTGCTGCCAACTGGTGCGCAACTGTAAGTATATATATATATATATACACAAGCGCGCAAACCAGCAAATCGACAGTTCACACATGTATTTGGAAAACGGCCCCCTCGGCCGCTTGCCTATCGCCCAGTCCTCCCGGGTGAGCGTCCTGGAGCTGGAGGCCCAGGTGGGCGCGTCCGTGCGGTGAAAGGCGCTAGGGGCGGGCGAGCCGGATTCAGCTGGCTGGGCAAAAGAGACTCAATGGGATGGAGATTTCAGATGTTTACAAGGTTTGGGCAACTAAAATTTACATGGTGTTGAACTTCCAGAGTGCTGGAAAGCCCTGCGTTTACTTCCCCTGTTGGTAGTATCAAGGGTCTGGATGGAGGGGGATGGTTTGATTCGGTTTTTTGGTTGCATGGGGGGATGTGGATGGGTGTATTCCCTAATCATCCCGCTCTCCGGCTTTGCTTGTGAGATGCTCATGTGCATTTCGACTGCGCAGGCTCGCGCAAAGTGGTGGGACGTGTCTTTCGAGGGTGTGCTCTTGCTGTGGTGCCGTGCGATTTCTGAAAATGGTTGATTGGTGAACCCTCTGCGGACTTTGCGTGGGTCGGATCAACCCTCTGCAGACTTTAGATGGGTCGAATCGCTCGCGTTGTGGCGACGAGCACACCGTGCTGCTTTTCCTGCACAGCGGCCACTTCAGCCTGATCCACAACTTCCAAGCGCTGGCCAGCAGACAGGGGCTGACCTTGGGAGCCACGCCCAGCAACACTGGCGGCTGCATGGAGTACAAGTGCCCGAGGTGCATGGCCCGCTTCGCTGTGAAGGCGCTGTGGCGCAGTGCGAATTTTGAACATCAAAATCAACCCTCTGAGGACTGTAGGCGGGTCGGATCGCTCTCGTTGTGGCGCGGTGTGAACTAGGTGGTAACATCAAAAGTGAGCCCCTGCGTGGTGCGAATTTTGAACATTGAAATCAACCCACTGCGGACTGTAGGTGGGTCGGATCGCTCTCGTTGTGGCACGGTGCGAATTTTGAACATCGAAAGTGAACCCTCTGCGGACCTGGGGTGGGTTGGAGTGTGGCGTGGTGCGATGAAAGTGAGGGCTTTTGCGGACTTTGGGTGGGTCAGATCCTCTCGTTGTGGCATGGTTCAAAATACAAACATCAAAGTGCAAGAGCTGCAAAAATATCTTGAAAGAGATCTTGTAGATCATGACCAAGAACTTCAATATATACAGGGTTCTGTCATGGATTCTGCCCGCAAATCTTGCCAAGAGATCCTATGAAGAGATTTTATCCCCAGATAGGACCGAATATCTTCTAGAGCAGCTTCAGAAGGCTTCTGTTTGAAGAGTGTGCGAGACCTTCTATACTTGTCTCACTTTTTGACCACTGCTTGGGGTCTCTTGCCGGTGTAGTAATTTCTTGTATCCCCATGCCGGCCTCACTGGTCGGTGGGCTGCTTTGATCTGAGCGTCTCTCTGCTCCAGAAGTTTGGCTGAGATAGTCTTTTCTTTGCATTTTATGCCAAAGTGATCTAGTTCAGCAACACCTCTGGACTGGTGGGTTGTTTTCCCACGGCTGATGGAGCTAGACGCACGACATTGTGCAACACATGTTTCGCGAATGCCAGTTACAAAGGAGGAGCCAAAAAAACTTCAATGATTTGACTGACAAGGCACGGCTCCCTAGCCACCGCAAGGAAGCTTTTCACGAAAGCGGAGGTTGAAATGATTCACTGGGCCCAGTTGGCCATAGACAATAGATCTTGCCCAACTCGAAGAGGCAGATGCTTCGGAAGGTGGAGGGTCCCAGGGTCCATATAAGTCACTGACAATCTCAGCAGTCCATGATGGAGAGGGCATGGTTCCGGCGGCCACGGGCTCCAATCTTCCCTTGTCCTTATTGGGGAGACATGACGGAAGCGTGTCATTCCCTTGGAGTTTCTCGAGCCCTTGTGCTTTGCGTACAGTTTAAAAGGCTCAACCCTTTGGTCATCCCAACCACTGAAATAGGTTCTAAAATGGGTGGTGAATTCACCTACCCCAAAATGGTATCATTGGTTTTGACCCAGGGCCATATATCCTACTCACACGGACGTGTTCCTTAACTCCGGCCCTCGCAGGCGCGGACGCGCGAGCGGCCAGCGGCTGGCCCAGGGCCCGTACGGGGCACCTGGCTGTTCAGCCGAAGACCAAAGCAGATAGCGTTGGCAGAAAGCGTCAGAAAATCGGCGTCCGGTGCGCTCAGGGCGATTGGTTCTTGGATCCAAGGTAGACAAGGCACTGCGAGAAGGAGGGATTAGATATTTTTGGCATAGGGGGTTGGCCAGAAAGCAGTGGTCCGGTGGATGGAAGGAAGCCTTCGGGTTGCTGAGATATTTCTGGCAAATGTTGAATCGACCCTGGTGGATTCGTCATATTCACCCTAAATGTGATGCATATCCACTCTAAGCTGGGACATATCTTGGCGGTGTTGTTTGGAGGTCAGCTGCCTTGCCATGCAGAAGCAAACACCAGGAAATCAAACTCCCAGACTCCCCCCCGTTTCTCCTCGAGCAGCCGAGTTGCTTTCCCCATCTCCAACCTGCCAGACGCGCTGCCGCTGTGCCTTTCCGGACTGTTGGATGTGAAGGACCAAGAAGGGGGCCGCCGGATTTGTATTGGTTTTGGATGCATGGTCGTAGAAAGCTTGGTTGTGGGCCACCTTCTGTGATATCAAGAAAACAGGCCTTTTGAAGTGACAACTGCATCACAGAACGGGTGATTCTCCGCAGCCGTGCTGGGATGGGCGCATTGCTCACCCATGTTGTAACCCCAGCTTAGGTAGTCCATGGTCCATGAAAGACTCTCTAAACTGTTTACAGGTGCGTAGAGGGCATCGCAATTTTGGGAGTGGAAGAAGAACTCAAAAGCTTTTCTTGGCTGCTGTGAAGGGAATGACAGGGCACACTCACCAAATTGAAAGAAGCCAGCAGAACACATTCTTCCACCAAACACACCGTGAATATTCACCGCGGCGTTTTCCCTCTTCTTCTTTTTGCAGGAAAGCGGTCGGTGCAGATTCACAGGCTGAGACTTTTCAACACGTCACGTAGACTCCGGTGCTGGGATCCGACTCACCCGTGCCTGCCTCTTGGATCAGATGCAGCTAGCTGGTCTTAGGTTCCTCCAACTGGGTCTTCTTTTGAGGGCGCCCTTTTTCACGGTTTCAATTGGGGAGTTGAAAGGGACATTGGAGCCATTTGCCACTCCGACTCGTATGGCACCTGACAGGGGGTCCCCACAAGAGGAGGTACCCTCCCACAGGCACCTCCTGTTAGTGGAAGGGAGGACTCGCCCATTTTTTCCGGTTTCTCTTTCAGTGTTTTCGAAAGAACACATTTATCTATATATATATATATATGTATTTATTTACAAGATAGAACTGGGCGGTTTGAATGTTCTCTTCCCCTCCCCCCAAACGGCCATGGGTCAAAATCCCGATTATCCCCCAGTGAACATCCCAATCCAACCACTAAATTCCCTGTTCTAAAATGGGTGGTGAATTCACCTACCAACCACAATGGGATCCCATTGATTTTTGACAACCACAGCCAAACAAATCCAATACATATCTATACAAATATATGCAAAATTGAACTGGGCGGTTTGAACATTTTCTCTTCCCCTCCCCCCAAGCAAAAATTCCGCCCCGAGCCGCTCGCCACGTATCTCCGCTCCGAGTCCTCAGGAGGCCCTCGAGTGGCCGAAGGCCAAGCCTTTGGAGCTGATCTACGCGGCGCCTCGGCCGGGCCAAGGGGAGGGAAGGGGGGGTTTTCGAGGAGAAGCCAAAAGCACACCCCAAGAGTGTTGGGATTTGGGGCCGCAGAAGGGGCCGTTTTCCGTTTTTTTTGCCCAGTTTTTAGAGCTTGGTGGGATTTTTTGGAGGCTCGTTCGGTGGTTTGTCACGTTTGTCCTTGAAGCCTTACTTCGAACAGGTTGAATGTGGCAAGGAAGCCCTATGCAACCCGAACACAGGGTTCTCCTGACGAAAGCAAGGCCGGCAAATTGAGGAGCGCATGTAAGCGTTGACCATATGTTCCGCGAGGTGTACAAGCTGCGAATCGGCGTGTCCTGGGAGAGCACATCAAAGTTTGACGGGAGGCTAACTCCCTCGTCCAATCAAGGAGTCTTGACCAGGACAATCAGGGCTCCCCATATTTTCTGCTTTGGATTCAAACATCACATTTGGGCCCATTTCGCCATGGGTCAAAATGCCGTACCCCCAGTGAACATCCCAATCCTCACTAAGCCAGACTAAAATGGGTGGTGAATTCACCTACCATTTCCAAAACGGGATCCCAAAACGGTTTTGACCACCACAGCCATTTGAACTTTCGGCTGGTGAAAACAGAAGCGACACCTGGGGAACTCTCACGGTCTGAGTTCTCCAAGGCGAAGGACGCACTCCGCGCCTTCCGGCCTTGCGCCCCGAGGCTTCGACTGCCCCGTTGCACGAGGATCTGGAGGCTGAGGCCGCGAACGTGGCCTCGCTTGGGTAGGTGTCAATATCCGGGGACCCCAAAACGGTTTTTGCTTTTGGTTCCCTTTTTCTTTTGGTTTCCCTTTGAAACACTTGAGAGCACTCCAACAAGGGTCAACCACCGGTAAAGATTGAACCCAGGATGAATAAGCCCTTGGTTGCTTCACGGGGTCGTCGGTGGCTTTCGGGCTCTGCTCAATGGTTTTGGCTCTGGGTCTCTGAGTCCCTGGTTGGCACCAAGTGGGCCCGAGCAACCCTCCAACCCTCCAAGCAGCTTGCTTCGCCCCTTTTGGTCGCCAGTTTCAAGGAAGTTTCCCCCAAAGGCGCGGTAAGAGTACTGCAAAGTTGTGTCTTTTGAGCTGGGGCTGCCGATCACTTGCTACTTGTGGATAAGATTCAAGATTCAAGATCTGGAAAACAAGTGCCTGGGGAATCTTAAATCCCATTTACCTCAAAGTGGCTTTACAGTCACCAATTCTAAAAAGATTCTGAAGAAAGATTTCCGGGGAATCTTCAATCTCAAAACACTGAAAATAACATTTTGGTAGATGTACATATATATATATATATATACGTAGGGACTTCTGGTTGGACTTTATTTATGTATAATAAATATACACAAAATTGGGGGTCGTATATCCCTGGGCCGCCGAACGAAGCGACAGCGAAGTCGCAGGTCACTTCACCGAAGGCCTGGCTCCACCAGCAGCTCGCGGCGGAGCTGGCGGTGCTGCCGGGGCTCCAAAGCACCGCAGTGGGACTTGACGCGTCTCCTGCGGTTCGGGCAGGCCTGGGGTTCAGACTGTTTTAGGGGTTGACTCCCCGTTCCGGTCAGGAACAAGCTTTGGTGATTTTTGCTTGGATGTTCGGACTTTTTAACTTTTTGCCAACTAATGGGTTGTCCATGAAACCACTAAAAGTCAAGCTTTTAGCAGGGGGGCAGAAAGTGTTCTAGGGGTTGCTTCCTTGTCCATTCTTTTCAACCATCGTTGTTTCCAAAAACCGGATCTGTTTTTGTTGGGTTTCCGGAGGTTTTCTAGAAAGATTCGGATCCCTGGAAAGAATGGGGAAGGTACTCGTTGAACTGTGGATGGTTGCGAAGACCATTTCGCACCACTCTGAAACTGCGGTTTCTGATGATTCCCCTGTAGCTACCAACAAACAATAGTTTCAACCATGTTTTCAAAGTGGTGCAGAATCTCGTCCACAGTATTTCACTGCCATGGCTCCTTTATCTTGCTGGTGCGATATCCGGGTGTTGGGAATGAACAGTTTTGGGCTTCCCTTAGCAGAAACCATAGGGGATGATTTCTTTTGGGGTCATTCCATTTCTCATTCCCTGCTGAGAACCAGCAAGTGTTTTTGGGTATTCTTTTTTGTGGTCCTTGGCTGAAAAAAAACAAAAAACGCCAAGTGTCCATAGTAGTCATGTCCGGATTTGGTATCACGCAGGCTTATTCAGGTCCCTTGTTAGTAGGGGTTCCTTTCTTCTCGGGGGACCCTCTGGTGGAGAATGGCGGGTTTGTTAGTCAAGGGTGAACCACTACGCAAAGCCCGTTTACATAGGGTTGCCCTTAGCATTGTCGGCTCTATTAAAGGGGGACAAGGATCGTTTGCAACGTCTTGGACATGAACAAGGGCCGCCAAAGATGCTTGTTTGTTTTCCCTTTGTTTCCTATGAAACCTGTCAGACTTTTCGCGAGAGAGACCCGTTTGTTTCTCTTCCATCTCATGCTGGAGAGTAGTTGGAGCAGCAAATCACATAATAGTGGATGGTGACGCCAATCACACGCATTGCCGCATGGGACTTGTTGTGAGAGCGAGTCAAAGCCAGGGTTACCATCCACGCTTCAACGAGCTCCCTGCGGCCTCTGAATTGTCACTTTTTTTCCCTTCCGGAGGACCCCGTGGCCAACAGGAAATTTTGGGATTCCCCTTGGTTCTTGTCGAGTCCCTTCTCCGACTGCAAGGTCTCCCACAAACATACCGTGGATGGACATCGAAACCACGAGAAACCATTTTTGGCTGGTGTTTGCATGCGGTTCTTGGTGAAGGTAAATGGCAAACCACCCTTTGTCTCCGATCCAGCAATCCGAACTGCCATATAAGGGGAAGCTGAGAACAAACTTTCAGGCAGGTTCATACAGCCCCGTGAAATGCCCAACGATGGTGTCAGACGTTCGTCACGTTCAATGAGAGATTTCGTGGGCAAATGGCCGGAGTTAGGCACCGAGATGTTATCTGAATTTTCGCACCGCAACATTGATGCGTAGTCATCAATCTCTAGGGAGTTTGCGACGGCACAAATCCAATCTATTGAGAGAGCCTTCTGACCATAACCATGGAGCTTAACCATACTGTGGGTGGACGAAATCCTGCACCACCCAACAAAGCTTGGGATGATGATTCCCCTGTAAATACCAACAACTAGTTGTTTCCCGTTGTTTCAAGGTGGTTCGAAGTGGATTCCGTCCATCCAGTATTCAACCTCTTTGTCATTTGCTGAATGTCAATCAGCCTGTTGGATCAAAGGGGGAGCGAAAGCCCTGTATCAATCAACCATCATTTGCCCAAAGCGAATCGATCTTTGTCCTTTGGGTTTTCCGTGGTCCATATTTAGTCATCACGAAAGGTTACCCGCTCTCTGAAGGAACCCCCCTCTATGAGGTTGCATGCTTGTGGATGGGAGGTTAACCTTTTAATTTCAGATGAGCCACAGTCAAAACCCGGGTAGATGAAGGTTAGGGGACGATCCCAACCACAACTAGCTGCGGATATCCGCCTTCTTCATTCTTGAAGCATGGTTCTGGGTGGACCATTCTACCGGGTTTTGACTATGACTCAGGTCCTTCGGGCTGGGGTTTCGAAGATCGTCCGTTCCCATGCACTCCCGAGGTGCAGCGAATGGAGCGCCGCGCTGCTGTCCAAAAACCTGGAGCAAGATGCCTTGAGGTGCCCGGAGTTGCCGAATTCGATGGTGGACACCGTGGCTGTGCTGGTTGCGTGGGGTGTCTTTGTTTGGGGGGTAGCCACAAAATGGTGGAATGGTCCCTTTCGTATTTCCCTTTCACTCCCCCCCCAAAGAAAAACAAATAGAAGAAGAAGAATAAACAAACAACAAATGGGTAAACAACACAGCCATGTTGTGGTGTGTTGTGGTTGGTGGGGCCGAAGTAAGAGGAAACCCATTGGCTTTCCCCGTCAAGTTCAGGCGCCCGTTACCAATCCAGTGACTGCACTTGGATCGGCGTGTTTTTTGAGGGTCTGTCAACAAAATGGCCACTGCAGCCGCCAGACCAGAAATTTGGCTGAACGCTAGGCACTAGCGAACGGCAGCGTATGGGCTTAAACCGCTTTCGCGAATCAAGGGTGGACCAGCTGGCACTCCATCGAGCTTGGCATTGCCAGCCAGCGCTGGCCCACTGACCCGGCGCACACGAATGAGTCAAAGAAAATTGGATGTGCAGTTTCCCCAAAGCTTGGTGGTTTCCCTTCAACGGGTTCTCAAAAGGTTCAGCAACCAGAAGGGTCATAACACAAGTCGTGGCAGGTCAACTTCAGGACTTTGGGCTGGGGCTCCACCATGTCCCATGGCTCCACACCCACAACCGAACCTTTTGCAGGGCTCGTGTGTTTCAACCTGTCCGTGTTGCAGGCTTTTTTGGCGGCCTTTCGATCTCTGAAGTGACACCATTGGACTTTTAGCAAAGGCGGAACCAGTGGTTTTTTCGTCGAATCTTATGGTTAGGGTGGTGCATGTCTTGATTGTGTGCATTTTGTTGCATGCAGTTTTGACTTCTACAAGACTGCACATTTTGATTTTGTCTTCATGATGAACATGCAGCAATGAATCAGCGATGCTGGTGGCAGCTTGTCAGTGATGCTGATGGCAACACTCTCAGATAGTTTGTCACATGTTTCTGTCCTTTTTTGACCCTTTTGGGTTGGTTTGTAAGGACACCAAGACGAGTACATTCATTTTTGGGGGGTCCAACCTTAAAAACGACACCCATTTGTCAGGAGCCAGCCCCGGCTGTCCAAGAAGCAGAAGCAGAAGCTGCGGCGCCGGCGCGCGGCCCGGGTGAGATGTTCAGCCGGTCTGTGGTCAAGGGAGGGGCTTTGGTGGACATACTGTGGATGGACGAAATCCTGCACCACCCAACAAAGCTTGGGATGATGATTGTAAATAGGGCCCTTTGTTCCTTGAGAGGGGCTTGCGGTGAAATTTCGGAGATGGCTTGTGACCATGGCTCCTTTCCCCTCTGATTCGCGGTGTTTCTGGAGAGGTACTGAAGAAGAAGCAAAACTCAGAGGGACCCTTTGCTGGACATGTACGTGGGGACCACCATTTTGGAGGGCGCATGTTTCATACAAAGAACAAGAGCTAGAGGCAAGCCTCGAGCTGTTGGGACCTTCCACAGGTCGAGACTTGGAGGTTTTTGCATCCAGTGGGGCAGGTGCAGTGGATTGGCAGGGTTTCATCCGTGTCAAGTGCCGGTCTTTGTCCATCAGGGCGGACTCGGAAGTGGGAGATCTGCTTGCATTCAAAGAGGATCGCGGCAAGAAGGCCCAATTGGCCCAAGAGGCTCTGTGCAAAAGAGGCTCCAAGGAGCCCCACTTGAGGGGACAAGGCAGGGTACTTGGGTCACTTCCTGAGTGGCATCGTCAGGCGAGTGGCTGGTAACAACCTACCATGGGTGCAAGTGCCCTAAGGATATGCAGACACCTGGGATGCTAACCACTTCCCAGAGGATTCCTTTTTTGGGGTTCCATGTTGAGTTGCAGTGGCGCTCCAACAAGCAGAGTTTGAGGTTTCTTCGGATTCTGGGTCAACGAGCGTGCCTCGCCATCCCGGGCCGGCTCGAAGGGCAAAGGGCCCGTGAAGGAAACCGCTGGTTGCAGACGGGGTATCAAAGCAGGACATTCTCCCCCGCGATATTTTTTGTGTGGTCTGTCTTTTTTCGTCTTCTTTTTTGCGGAACTCGGGTGGCGCGGAAGCCTCGGCGGCGCTGGGTTTCTTGGAGAGGATGGAGGCTGGGCCTCGGTTTGAAACTCGGGGGGACCAACCGTGGGTGAGGGGGAAAGCTGAGACTGGAGTGATGCCCACTTTGGAATGCGGGAAGACCAGAAGAGCTGGTGCATCACTTCACCGAAACAGAGGGTGAACCCCCACCCGTCAAAGCACCCCAAAGGAGACGTCGTGCCCGGTGACTCAAAAGGGACGCCAAGCATACTTCCTTTGGGGCCGCCAGCCCGGCCAAAAAGGGTGCGAGTCTATTTCACGACTTACCTCTTTCATATTATTTGGGTGTGGAAACCTATGGACCCCCCCCCCCCCACGGCAAAAAAAAAGAGACACACTATGCGTTTTCCCTGTGTGGTGTTCCTCAACCCGAAACGGGTTCCCCCCAAAAAAAGAAAGGAGGCGAGCCACCCATCTCTTTCGGAGCATTCGCCAGGCTGAGCTGAACGGAATGGACGAGCCTACCACCCAGGCGCAACTTCTCGGGGTTCGAAGGGAACCCAAGGTCTTCTTTTTGGGGTCCTGTATCTTAAGAGGCACCCGTATTGCACCCAGGGAACCTTTTTTTTTCCTAACATATATGCAGTGTGACCATCTTGCCTGGATCTTTCTGTAAACATTCTTAACGGTTCACGGTTCAGGATGGGCGAGAATCAAGCTTATCATGTTTCGTGGGCAACCGAAGGCCCCAAAACACCGCACGGGGTCCGAAATGGATCTCTCCGCCGGTTTCTCCAACCAGAAAAAGTGGTAAAAATGCCTAAAACGGAACCAGACCCATTTTGAGTGCCGAAGTATCCAAAGGAATGACAAACATGTTTCCCCACTAGTTTCCACGCAAGCTTCCAGTTTCTATCCGGAGGTGCGTTTGTTTGTGCCTTTTCACCTCGGGAAAAAGGAGAACCCAGTTTGACACGTGCCCGAATGTGCCATGGTCAAATCTCGGCAAACACCCCTGGTTTTGGACCATTTAGGGAACATTGGGGCGCTGAGGTTGGGCTTGGACATTGACCTCTTGGACCCCTGTGTGTTTCACCCAAAAGGTCGCACCCGTTGGTAGAAGCCACCCTCGAAGTCACCTACTGACCTGGTTTTCCAGAAAATCACCCCTTGTGGGAGTCGACGATGCCCTCCCACCAACTAACATGGAACCTGACTTTCGTGGGATGCTGGAGCACCAAAAATATTCCTTTTAACGGTACCACTTCCCGAATGTCAGGTTAGGTGAACCTTTCGGTTCGAACTTGTTTGGACCACCCAGTGGTTCGGTCCACGGTTCTTAAAACCGAGGTTCCCAGCGGCAGGGTTCCGCTTTTGTACTCGAGTAGACTTCAACCCAGATATAGTTCATTACTCCCCCAAACAAAAAAATACTTAAGCCCAGGGGTGGTTCATTGCCCAACACAAGAAAAAACAACACCCTTGTTCTTTTGTTGTATCTATCTGAAGTCAAAACATGGAGCCCCGCCCCGTGGTATCCTGCCCGCATCCGCCCCACCGGAATCGGTTAGCTCCAGGTTGTCCTCATGGAGCTTCGGGCCTTGATCCAGGAGGAGTTCCTGAAGCAGTCCGAGCGCTTCGGCGGAAGACATGTTTTCTCGTTTCAACCGGCTGGGCGTCTTGTTTTTTTTTTTTTTTTTTGGGGGGGGGGGGGCCGGTTTGGCATGGTTTGGTTTTTGTTTGTTTGCTTGTTTGTTTGGTTTAGTTTGGTTTGGTTCGGTTTGTTTGTTTGCTTGTTTGTTTGTTGATTTTGTTTTGTTTGGCCCATGGTGCTTGTTAGACTAAGTCAGAAGCCGCTCCGGCATGACAGAACGCCTGCACGTGGTATTTGCGGCAGCTTCAAGGAGATACGTCGGGTTTTCTTCCTTCCGCTCATTCCAAGAGTTGGCTCTTGGATCTTTTTTTAACCATGCTAAAGTTGTTGTTTTTGCTGTTTGTGTGTTTGTTTGGCCCAGTGTCCGTAGACATTGGAGAATACGGGCCGCAGCTGTCGGGCTCTCATCCCAAACTCCACGAGCTGCGCCTTTTAGGGCAAGACGCTAGGGATTCCAGAAACTTTCCGTTGGAACTCTATGAAGCTCCCAACGGATGGCGAGTTCCTGGATAGCCAAGTTGCAATCGTTCTTTTCAGTCACGGTTGCGGGTTTTGGGGTTAAAGTGGATGGAGATCATTTCGGGGTTCAGTCACTGGCGATCCAGGTTGCAACCACTTTTTGATTCGCTCCGATCTTTTGAAGCGAAAGGGGGCCTCCCTGTGTTCGGTTTTCCTCTCCGAGGAGTCTTCCCTAAGCGCCGGTTTGGGCGGTTTGGTTTTCGGAGCCAAGCAGCCGCTTTGCCAGAAGCAAAGTACACAACATCCTGCGAATCTAGTCTAAGTCATTCTATCATGAGGGGACTGGGGCACTCTTTTTCTTTGTTTGCCTTTCCAAGCCTCTATTATTTTTCTTTCTCTCTCTCTCTCTCTCACCTCGCTGTCTTTGCTCCCGCTTTGCCTCTTCCCACGACTTTGTCAGGGCAACATGCCTGCCGCAGGAAAAATGGATACTTGGGCGGTTCGACTTTTCTGACTTGGACGGATTCATGACATATGGGTGTTTGTTTTTTTAGGAGACCCCCGCAAATGGTGGTTTTCCTTTCTGTTTCCGGTTTATGCCAAGCCAAAAAGGGGCACAAACCCGAAAACGAAGACCCATATCCCAGTAGAAGAAGTCAGTTGAACCACCAAGGATATTGTGTCCCACATCCCTTAGGTCAGCAGCTTCTTGTGCTGTGCTATTTCACATGAGCGAAAAGGACCATGGCAGTTGATTCTTTGTGAACCAGCCACACCATGTTTGAAATGATCTAAATGGCAGGGTTTCGCAACAACAACGGGCGCGGGCCTTACGTCGCCGCGGGCCTTACATCGCCAGCAGTGCCGTGAAAGAGCGGAATTGGTCCGTCAGTTGGAGCTTTGTTGTTCCCAGCAAAAGTGGGCCAGTCGGTTGAGAGCAGATCTTTTTGCGACCCTTCCTCGGGCAGCGCCCGAGGATCCTGTTGGAGCTCACAGCGGACATGCGAATGCATTTGGCCTTCCCGCCGCAGACCGCGGTCAAGGCAGCCGGATTGGATGTGGGACGCGGCTGGGTGGGAAATTCGGACAAACCTGTCCAGTCCATGCCCTTTCAAGGCCGACATTGGGGGAGTCGAGCTTTCAACTTCAACCACGTCTCGCTAACTTTCCTATGTTCAGGTGAAGGCTACCACAGGAGCCCCAATAGAAATTCTCAGTAGTTTCATGCACTGGGGGGGGAATATTTCTTCCATCCCTGACAATCAGGCCACACCATTGAAACGGACCACACACCGTCATATAAGCTCAAAAGTTCACTTGAACAAAAAATCAAGACCCCTTAGAGATCCGCAGGTCCTTGCAGGTTGACCTTCAAGAATACAGCAATGAGGTTATGACCCTTGCTCAATCAATCAGTGAGGGACATGAACCGCACAGCATGGATCAAATGAAGAGCGTACGTCTGGAGGATGCAAAAGAAACACATACCGAGATAAAGTGGGACTCTATAGCAGCGCAAGGTCAGGAGTCAGCAGATGCCTTTGGTAGAGAGACCCTAGAAAAGTGCGGGAAGACAAAGAACGCCATTTGGTGCAGCAGTTGGAACACATAGAAGCAGTAGGCCACCAATAGGAAGGGCTAAAGAGGCTTAGGGCAAAAGTCACCCCCTCCTTTACCAAGTTCAAAGACTCGGCAGGTAAACATGTACCTTTCAGCGAATAGTCTCACAAAGCTGCAGACTGTTTGGAAAGCACGCAATGGGAAAACCCGGAGGATGGCTCTACAAGATGGAAGGTTTGTGGTTTCCGATGGCCCATTTTCCCTTCAAGAACTGGACTTTGTCTGGAGAAGACAGCGCCCCTTCAGAACTGTTTAAACTAGCGCTGTGAGTATTTTGTTGCATGAGCTTAGCATGAAAATGGATCGGTAGTTTGCAAGCGAGGATGAATCTCCTTTCTTATAAATCGCTACTGCTTGTGTTGTTGCATTTTCCATATATTTCTCATTGAAGGCATGCGATCGCATCCTGTAGGACGAAAGAAAGGCTGGAAGCTGACTTAGATGAATGCCACTCAGTTTGGGTTGAGAAAAAGAAGTGCCTCCCAGGCAGTTTGGATGGAACCTCAATGAGCACACTGAAACTGTTAGATTGAGAAAGGGCTTTCGACAGGACGTTACAGAGTACGATGATTTGAAACCCTTTTCAGGCTAGAGCTCCCCAATTCAAGATCAGCGTGGGAGACACTGAGTCGAGGAGCCCGCAATCCACTAGACGAGGGCCCATTGTCTCGGCATTTACTTACTTTGGCTATGGGTGCCCCAATGGCTGAGGTTCAGCCAGCGCAACCCTCGTCAAAACTAGCCACTTGGAGTTTTCTTCAGTAACATGCTGCACGCTGATGACACACTACCAATTATTTGGCGCACACACACACACACACACACACACAATGCTTTCACGGTTCTCCACACTATCGAACGCCATTCACGCTATTTTGGAATCAGCTTGAGCTACGAGACATGCGTGAATGAACGGCAAACCAGAGGCAGTCGGAGGTCCACGTTGTGCCGAGATGGTTCTTGTTGCGAGGAGGAAGTCAGCGACGTAATTGGGGACCCTAGTGACAAGAGCACTTTGACAACTCTGCTGAAAGTGAGTGTGTCGCCGCCTGCGAAAGCTTTTCTGGAACAGAGCCAACATCGGTTAAATGGAAGGTCCAGGTTGTTCACGTACAGTCCAACTTGCTTTATGGCCGAGAGCTGCAAATTACACAGACGGAAGTGTGGAGGCTTAACGCATGTCAAAGCAAACCATGGTGTATTTGGGAAAACCACCCTTGTTCATTGACAGCTAGCAAGCCAATCAAAGGATGGATGGGGAGATGCGAAACAATTGTGGCTGGACTTTTCAACATTTCGGAGATACTTGGAGAAAAACACAAGTAAGGTAATTATGGCATTTATTAAGATAAACATAAGCAATCCACCAAACCAAGTCACGTTTGCAAATGACGGGCCGCCCATGAATAATGCACATGTTCAACAAATAAAGCAACGGGCCACAGACAGGGCAGATCCCTTCAAACAGCTGGGTGCAAGCGCCAAGGCCGCGGGGCATTCGTTGTACTACTAAGGTAACTCGCCTTGTTCGAAGCGTTATAGAAGGCAAGGGGTGGTGCCAGAGTGCGTTGCGTAAGGCTTTGGTTGGGAGCTCGCATTTGGTCTCTTGAAAAAAGTGACGACTCAAGCCTGGGTCAATGCTTTGCTATTCCATGCTATTCAATCACACATTCATCCGCGGCGGTCCTCGGGAAGCATGTTCAGTTTTCGTGCTCTGGTTGGTATCGAATTCCCAAGGCTCAGCCATCAGCTGCACGCCCAACTCTGCTCCCCTTTTGGCGCTCTGGGGCGGGTCTGGCGCTCTGGGCGGTGCGCTTGTTGAGAAGACGCTTTTGCTGGCATGGGCGCAGGAGTCGGGAGCCACACTGCGGCCAGAATCCCAGAAGGCAAGCGGACGTTTCACCTCCATCGCATTGCTTGTGGAGTTGGGGCTTCCTGATCCAAGAAAAGGTTAAAAAGGAGTCATCGAGGTGTTGGTTTTGGAGGTATGGAGCGCATAAGGAGTGTATACTGTGGTACGAGCTTGTACTGGTGGCATATCCATCTCCAAGATCCATACCTGAAGAAGCCTCTGATCATAGGTCCCTGCCAAACCTTTGCGGGGATTGGGGGGCCTTTGATTTTCTCCCTAATGCCGAACCATGGGGAGTGTCCCTTTCAAGGCTTTGTAGGGTAACCATGCAGTGATCCATTAGGTCCCACCTGGATCTGAAATTCCCGGTTCTTTTGGGCCCAACACGTCCAAGCTTATAGCTTGTAGCTTCCCACGAAGCTATTTGCCACAATAGGTGAAATGTTGGTTTCCCACTGCAACGACGAATCGGTCCATTTCCGAGTTTCTTAGATCGGTTGGCTTCCTTTAGAAGGGCATTCAAATCTCATGAAACCTTTCGTCTGGCAGGCCATGCGGTCTCAGCCCTTCCACCTCAAGCCCGAAAACTACCGGCCGGAGGAGAAGGTCTTGCAGGCGACGAGTCAAGGCTAAGGAAGGCTCAAATATTCCCCTGCGCAACGGTCCTTTTCGGGGGTGTCTCAAAATGCGTTCTTTCAAGGTGGCGCAAGCGGAGCTCGGCTCTCAAAAGAGGCCATATGTTGACGCCGCTCTTTTTTCCTGTCATTTTCCGCAGAAAAAGCTGAATATTCTTTGGTGCATTTTGCTTGGATGCTAGGACTATGACTTTTTGCAAACTAGTGGGTTTTCCATTAAAGCACAACAAGTTAAAGTTTGAGCAGGGGAGCAGAAAGCAACCGAGTACTGACCCTGTCCCACGTGAGGTTTGGTGAATTGGGAGCGACATGGGGGACTCATAATCAGTTTCTCGCAAAACCCAACCTCCCTAAGTTTATCCCGGGGAAAGCTGAAGGAATTGCCGGCTTTGTCCCCCACGGATCAAGAATGCTCTAAATCTTTCGCAAGCAAACCAACCATGGGGATGTTCAGGATTTTCCTTGTTCCCTACTTGCAAGATGGAGGGCGTCCACCGCAGCTGAAACTTCACCCCTCAAACTTCGAAGCATGTTGACCCTGATAGCACCAGGGGTTCAAGCCGAGGGCACTGCGGATCCCGACGATCAGGCAAATTGGGGGAAGAAAGGCGGAAAGAGCTTGCATCTTGTATATCACCCTACCCCCTCCTGCCAGAAGCGAGATCGACTAGGAGCAAGGTGCTGGTCCCATTCTGCTGAGTATCGGACAGAGCATACACCCCCCCAATGCGACAAACCATGCAAAACATTGTGGGCGAGCAAGCTTTCATGATGGAAACCTGGGAACATGTCTATCAGTCCTGGAAGTTCCACAAATATCTCACTGGCCGAACAGACAGCAGTGAAGTCAAGCGCTTGCTGAGCTCCATCAGGCGAGGGGGGACATCGCCGCCGTTTCTCTCAAGCAGGTCGCCTACACACAATTGGCCAAAGCCGCAGCAACTATTCGAAGTCAGACGGACGGCTCTGGAGGAGTTACGCCGCCTGAATGTGCCTTCGGAAGAAGATCCGCTGAACGTGTCAGCCACGACCAGCTCGGCTGGCTATCGGCAGGCCACAGGAAAAGGTTTCTGCAATCCAAGTCGTGCAGCTTGCAGAACGAGGCCTTCAGGAAGCTGGGCAATCAGCGAGGTCTTGCGCAACATCTTTGGTATGAGGTCAAAGCCACGCCATATTGGTGAACTGGCGAGAAGACAAATCCAAGATTTGGTTGATGGGCAAGCTCACTTTCTTAGAAGGAGCCATGGTAGGACTTGATCTCGGAAGCTGAATGATCAAGGGCAGTTCCACAAAGGTCAGAAAGGACCAGACGATTCTTCCTGGCAAACCAGGTATTGATTTGCTCCCACCAGATGAAAGGGACGCGCTCCAACGACGACAAGAAGCATCATCATCCGACTGCAAGGGCCATCCAAACCCATCACTTGGCACAAGAAATTGCGAGGAAGACACTTTTGCAGTTAAAACCATGACCTTCGTCAGACCGAGGTGCTCTTCCCTTGGAACTCGTGTTGGCATCAGAACTGGATTCGATGAGATGACCTCCAAGGGCAGACCCAGTGGTCATGGAGAATATCAAGGAGTACGCGGAGATGCACTCCTGACTGGCGCCGGAGTGCAGACCGCGGCTAAACATCCAGAACAACAGAAGGTATATAGAATATGAAAAGCGGAAACGAAAATCTCCCCAGGCTTGAATTCGTGGCATCCATTGCCAGGCTCCAATCCAAGCATTTCAGATTCTTTATCATGGCGAACCCAACGACATCGCGACTCTGGAGTCTGAACTGAGATGTTGAGGGACTACCCGTACCACTCTCCAAGGTCAGGAGGCCTTTCCGACCGGGCTCCAAATACAGGGTCGCAGGATTGTTGACGAGAACAGCAAGCTCACTGGTGTTCATGTGGTGCCTCTTCGCAATGGTGTTATTGTTGGCACGAGGACAAATCCAAGATTCGTTCTGATGGGAGCAAAAGAGGCTTATGGTTGAAGGACAAGATCATTCCATGGACTTGATCTAGGAACAGCAAGGTCAACGCCGCAGAAGAAGAGCAGATTCCGGAAGGTGTCAAGAAGATCGCCAAGGACGACAGTTTCATCCTGGGCATAATGCTGCACATTCTCTGCCCAACCAGGCTGCCTACTTCTTCCAGACTGTTGCAGAGCTGAGACAGAAAGAGAAGTCTCCAACGCAGATTTTCGTGGAATCAAGTTTTTTCAGCAGAGAGCGCAAGCCATATCACAAAAAGGACTCCTGGAGCAAAATGCCAAGAACATAGCATTGCTTCCTTCTGAGTAGAGATATGAAAGGTCAGAGTATTGAATTACCATCAAGTCGATTGATGAGTCAGTGCTGATGAGTTGAGCAAAACTACAAGATACGATCCGATGCTGAAGGTCCAAAGAAATTTGCGTCTGTTTTGTTCTCAGTTTTGCGTTTTGCTCACAGCTGACCTTCATGCAATCAATCATATGTCCCACGGAAACATTTTGACCCAAGGCCCTGCTTCCTTACACAAAAGAGCCATAGCTGTTTGTGCTTGCAGGTTGATTTCCTTTTGGTTTCCTTGAAAAGGAATGGATGCAGCTTTCCAAGCGCATTCCAATCCAATTGACAGTGGTCACCAAAGCGCAAACCGTGCACCAAAACTCAGACTTCAAATGGTGTTGCCCGGTTTCTTTTTGAAGGGGCTTCGCCTTAAATCACCAACAACGGGTTGCCCGCTTATTCCGCATGGACATCCATTGGATGTCACTGTCGGTTTTCCCATGCCGACGCCCAAACAAGTCGATAGACCGACGATTCTACGATTCATTTTTTCCGCCAAATTGTTCCAGGAGACTTCCATTTGCTCAAGAATAGATATTTTTTATTTCCCCCTGTTGGTTTTTAAGGGAATCTATCACTACTGGAAATATGTTGGGTCTTAACCACGTGGAAGGAGACCAGCATCGAGCTGATGAGCCACGAGCCCTTGGTGACCTACTCCCCTGCGGCCACCACGCCCGTGCCGGAAACGACGGAGCGGATCACTTCGAAGAGCAGGCGATGCGAGAGATGGTGCGAAACCATGGCACTTTGGACAGACCCCATGATTCTACCATGATCAAAGTCACCGGGAAGCCGGGAAACGGCCCCAGTTCCTGACCTTGACAACCCCGAGAAAGAGTCAAAATCATGACCCCTGTTTGATGCCCAAAATGGTTGGGAACCCTAAGGGGAACCCCAAACATGGCTTGGTTCAGAAGTGGTTATTCAACAAGTGGCCATTCGAGAATGGGTCAGCGCCGGAATCAGGCAATGGGACTCCGTGGTAAACCACTTCTCCGAGCACCATGAAAAGGCCGGGAGTGCTCAGGTGATTTTTTTGGTTATTTGGTTAGATACAGATGGTTCCACCGGGTTTTACCCTCCATTTACCGGTGCCATCTATTTTTCTAGAAGGTTACCATAGCGCCAGTTGGTTGCTGGTAGCTGGTTCATCCAAATATGGTAGGCTTTGTCTATTGTAGGTGAAGGAAGGGAGAGAGCGGGGTGTTGCTGGGGTCATTGATGGGCTAGCCAAAGAAGCGTGCCTCAATTGGTCATGCTTGGTTTTTTAGGGAAGTGCTTGTTTTCCCACTAACCAACAAACAAGCCAGACTTCTTGCGGGGCAAGTAAGCTGCGATCGCTTCAAGGTTGCAGTGAAAACTGTGGGGGGGATATGCGCTTGGAACCCTGACATTTTCGGATCACCAAGTCTCAAGTAGGGATACCTTGCGGTTCATAAGATACGCCCGCGATTGCTTTGTCCTCAGGAAAGATGACAGCTTATTGTGATGTACCCTCCAATGGTCTTTTTCGAGACCCTATCCGCAGCCCCCTTGTTGGATAGTTTTATTCAATGTGCGTAGCCGACCAACCTCACCGTGAGGCACAAAAGTACAAGGGGGCAGGGTCGGGCAAACATGCGTTGCAATCAGATCCATGGTCAAACTCGGGGGTTGGGAACTGAGGGGCTTTAAGTGTCACTCTGGTTTCATGAAAAATCCCCTCAGGGGGTTGGGAACAGGGGGGGGATCTGAAGGGGTTGGGAACAGGAGCAGCTTCAGTAAGATAATCAATCTTGTTTCAAGACAGGCTTGGGCCCACCCCGAGAGGCGACCTTTCCATTTCGATTTGTGTTTTTTTTGAGGCTCGGCAGTGGGCACTTTGCTTTGGGGGTGTCCTCTAGGAAAACTGAAGGACACACAAAGGAGTTGAATCTGTTGACTTTCACTTGTTGGTTGAGTCAGTGGAGGTTCCATTAAACCCACGAAAAGTGATTCACGAGGACTCGTTGTAGCCGCCAGTTGCCACTTGGACCGTTTCGGCACGTCGGCTCCGAGGCTCAGAATGCCGGGTACCAAGCCCGCGCAGGCGGGGTGCGAGCAAGCCGGCGGTTTGGTTCGTCTCAAGGGCCGTGGGGTATGTACCCCCCCGAAAATGGTGCAGTTGTCCTGTTGGCTTCCCCCAAAAACGGCAAGCCTTGGGGGTGCCACAAAGCAATGGCACACCCACGCGGAGCAGAGAATTTGAAGCCCTTCAAAGAAGGCGGGTTCGGCTTATTCCCAGTGAGTTTCTGAAGCGTGCGGCACTCAGCTCACTGCGCTCTTCTGATGGCCACGAGCCCAGTTTGGCTTTCGGCCAAGTGGTTTTGCTTAATATGATGGCACGGAGTAGACTCATAGACACTTCTGTATACCTTGGAATCACGGAATTCTCTTGTGGGAAGCCCACACCCATTTTCACTCACTCTTGAACCGTGTGGGTTGTTCTTCGGCTTCAGCTTTGTCCGTGTTTGCCCTGTAAGCCTCGGGCCCACTGAGTTTGGCGAAGGTGGACAATACGAGAAAATCCGCACGGAAAGGCATGGAAACCTGAAGGACGACGAAGGTTCCTGCAGATTGAAACGGGATGGCATTCATTTAAACACCTCGGCCCGGCTCAGGGTGACTCTCTTTTTTCCTTCCAATAGGCGGAGCCGAGGAGATGCATTTCTGTTTGCTCGTTTTGGACAGAAACCAGAGGGAAGTTGTGCTGGGCCTTATTGCCTCGCTTTGGTTCTTGTGTTGCAAAGACATAAGCTTACATGTGGATTTTAGTTTACATTTTCGGAGGGTGTTTCGAACATTAAACTTCAAGCAGTCTGGGACTGAGTAACATCAGCGACTCATCCCCGACCATCTCTCCTGGCTGCCAGAAGCACACTTTGTTTTTGGGTGAGAGAAGGCCATGACTCCGTTTTGTGAGATTTGACAATCTTGTGTTATGATATCCGTGAAGCATCGCCGGGGGTTGAGTTGGTGTGCATGGGACAATTCAACAATATTGTGAAAGTGTAAGGGGAATTGTCCATGAATAGTCCCAAATCTTGTGTATAAACCATCCCTTAGTTGGTGTGAATGTGTTTTTTGGGTCCCCTATGAATCTACAAGGGACGGTTTAGACAATCAGTACCTCATTCCCTACTCAGGACCAGCGGTTGAATCTGGCTTTGTTGGATGCATGTGGCTGTGGTTGTCAAAACCGTTTTGGGATCCCGTTTGGAAATGGTAGGTGAATTCACCACCCATTTTAGAACCTATTTTAGTGGGGATTGGTTGATGTTCACTGGGGGCACGATTTGGATTTTGACCCATGGCCATGTGACTTTGTTGCAGGCAGCAGCCAAAGCAGCCAGCCACTTCAGAGCCCTTCCTGTGTGATGCGGATTGTCTCCGCACCGTTCTTTCACCACGCTACTCGGGATGCACAAAAAAGTGAAAGAGTGGGGAGCGAGAAGGCGCGGCATGAGAAAACTACGACCCGCAAAACCGGAATTCCAGTACCTCTCTTTGGAGCCAGCTTATATACATATATATATATATACGCATCACTTTGTGACTTCTGTAGCTAATTGTGGCAAGGTACACAAGTTCCCGAAAATCCATAAAGCCTCAGCCTCTCGTCAGATGCATTTGCCCAGCATCTGCACCGGAGCTCAGACAGCCATGAACTTGTTGCCGTTCCCCCGCCCCCCCCCCCCCCCCCCTTTTGCCATGTCTTCCCTGCCGCTCGGTGCACCCCTCTTTGCGGTCCGTCATGTCAAATCCTGGCTGTTTTCAGGTCCCTTCGCCTGGTCCCTTTCTTTTCCTTAGTTCCTGTTTCGCTTTCCCTCTTTCCTCTTCCCTTGTCCCCGTTGAAGATTTAGGTTTTGAGGCTGGGTTGTGGTTGCCCGGGCTCTTGGCTTTTGAGATCGTATCTCTGTTCGGGATTGTCTGAACTCGGAGCTCAGAAGAATGCGAGACGAAAGCACTGCCAGAGCCCAGGAATCGAAAGGCACCGGGTCTATTTTGGAAGCGTGCATTTGGAGGGATCTTTTTGAAAGGACCCAAAGGAATACCATCCATCTGGAGGGAGTTCCCTTCTAAACCCGCCATGGGCGGGGGCGGGGGGCGATCTACGGCACGCGGAGCGTTGCGTGTTTTCAACCCACGAGATCCGAGCCAGTTTTAGTCCACGCCTTCCTTGCAGTCTTTATCTATTCGCACAGTGGGTGAGCATCTGCTGTTGCAAGGTCTTTGCTTCGTGGGCATGGCATGTGAATCCACTGCCCACAGCAGCGCTTGCTGAACACATGCCTGCCAGAACCTTGTCCGGGGCAGCTTTCAGAACATGAGCAGAGCAGCATGCATCCGCAACACACTGGCGTTTTGCAGCAGGTTTGCCCCTCTTCATGCTCGATTTGTGTTGCGGCCTGTGTTTTGGAGGGTTTTCGGTTCGCCCGTCCCTCAGATGGTTTGGGTATGTGTCTAAAGCAGCCCACCCTTGACTCGCCCCCCCAACCAACCCACAAAAAGTCGCCGTAGCCACAAAAAAAGAGACGTTGTGCGATTCCGCGCCGCATTCCAACGAATCGCTGGGCGATTTGTCATAGCCACAAACAAAGAGAGTTGCGATCCCGCGCCGCATTCCGACGAATCGAATCGGGGGCGATCGATTTGTTTTTCTCGCTCAGGGCATCATGGCCATCATCCTGGTGAACCTGGTCCTTCTGGGCATCGAGGTGGACGTGGCGGCCTCCCTGGCCTACGGCGAGGCGCGCGGATCCCGGAGCTTCGGAGCCGCGAAGAGAGGTGAGAGCCGCCCGGCTTCTCCTACGTGTTTTTGGTGGGCCCAGTTGGTCGGGGTTCCCACCTTTTTAAACCCAGGGCTTCTTTCTGCTTTTGGGGGCAATGAACCATCCCTGGGTTTGAGCCTAGTCAAAAAGTGGAACCCTGCCCCTAGTTGGCTAAAAAGAAAGCAGGATGCCAACAGGAATCAAGGCCCCAGATGGATCGTCGGGTCCTTGCAGAGCTTTTTTCGTTTTCGCCGTCATGCGCAAGGTTGGGCAACAAATAATTTCAATCCACCAGACCTTGGCCCTTTAAAGGGGAAGCCAAAAGGTTCTGGTGGTTGTTGAAGCCATGATCACTCGCTTAAACTAAACCATGCTGGCCCGGCCCACCGGGATCATCCCGCAGACACCCGTGTACTTCAACGAGATCAACATGCTGGTGGTGGGCATCTTCATGATGGAGGCGGCGTTGTTTTTTTCTTTTTTTGGGGGGGGGGGGTGGATTTTTGGGGGGATTTGTGGATTTTGTGATTTTGTGGATTTTTGAGGATTTTGGAGATTTGTGGATTTGGGGGATTTTGGGTTTTGTGTCCGGGGTTCTAATTTTGGAGGAAACCACAGAGAGAAGCTCGTGGCTATGGCCTGGGATTTTGTGTCTTGTTTCGGGGGTTCTATTTTTGCGGGAAACCACAGAGAGCAGCTCGTGGCTGTTGCGTGGCTGGAGTGGCACTCTGTGAGTCCGGCAGAACCACGGGAACGCCACTGGACTTCAGCTACCGCGGGCGAGGTCAGCGAACGCGGCCGGCGCTCATTGCACTCCACCCGGCCGGCGAACGCTTAACCCATGCTCAACCCACTCGAACGACAGAGCTCAAGCCAACCCTCGAAAGCAGTTCGAGCCGGCAGCAACCCTACGCAAGAGCCTGAAGAAGTCCGAATCCCCACCCAAAACCACCATCCCTGAAAATGGAAAACCTGAAGTCCAGAAGCTCACCAACCCGACAGTCAAAGCGAAGCCCATTTGCGCCACAGACTCTCAAGTTCGAGTTGAGCCCTCGCGCCCGAACTCCAAGCCTCCGTAAGCCTGGCTGTGGCTCAAAGAAAGTGCCCAAATGGCCCCCTTTGGAAAATGGAACCAAAGACTAACACCTACGTAACCCTAGCTCTTGAATTTTGAGCCGCACCCACCAAAGTGTGAGGACAGAAGCCTGCCAAACCTGACCAAAGCTTGCCTCACGCCTCAGGTTCTGCTGAAACTGATCGCCCTTGGTGTCCGCGGATACTTCTGCGCCAAAGAGAGGCTCGGCACGGAGAACGGAGCTCACCGCTCGCACCTGGGTGCCCCTGGAACAAAGCAGAGGTCAGTGCCTTTTTTGCATCGGGATGACAGGGACCAAACAGATAAGTGAACTCAGCATTCCATGCGATACGCGGAGTCTCAAGGCAATCCTCCCAGACAAAATGCGCACACACACTCACACATGTTTTATTGTGCAAAGTTGCCCACAGCTGAAATCCAGCCTAGATACTGAGCTAGCTAGCCTGAGCACCAGCCAAAAAGAATCACCCGCCGTGGGCTTTTTTTGGAGCCGAGGAAGTGGTGGAACATCTTCGACTTCGCCATCGTCTCGCTCTCCGTGCCTTGGAGCCTGGCCGTTGAAAAAGCCAAATGGCCACAAGCTATCGTTGAGGGGCCCGCTAGGTCCCCCAGCTAGGTGCCCTTCTCTTCCCTTTTTTCGGGGAGGGTTCCCCTTTTTTGGGGGAGGGTTTTCTAACCTCTCTACTGCAGGACCTGGGGAGGCTTGGCCCGCCAATGACCCTCGATTCAGCGACGGCCTTTCTCTATGTTTTTAAGGAGGCAGTAGATTTTTGTTAAGCGAGGAACACGAGGTGCTGGACTCAAAACCAAAGGGGTTTGTCTTGGCTCGGCTCAGGTTTTGAGTAGTCTTGTTCTTGTGTAGGCCAGTTCTTGCTTGATGCAAGGGATGAGCTGATACTGATACAGCCCGTGCGTCTTTTGCGCAAATCTTCGCTTTCAGTCCATGGGTTCGGGGTTTCGATCTTTGATGCCGCCAGGTTTGGGCTACACAGGTGCCACATTTTTTTTTTCTGAGGTGCGATTGTGAACTGGTGGCTTGGATTGGGATTTGAAGGTTTGCGGAGCATCTAATCACCAACCTGGGTGTTGTGGTGTCCCTTTAAGCCAAGGTCGGTGTGTCTCAAAAGTAGGGCCCCCCTAAAATGCTTGGTTTCGTCTGGGCAGCAAAAAAAATAAATCAGGTGAAACGGGTACCGAGTCTTAAAAGCACAGCCCCATTTTACTGAAACTCAGATGGTTTACTGAGGATAAGGCCCAGCCGTGTCGGTAGGTAGAACCAACCGATATTTGGTGTTGGGCGCGCAGCTACCCTCCGAACCAATCCAAATCTTCATTTGGGTGGTTTTCCACATGTTTTGCTTTTAGCATGAGCCGGACATACCCACCACCCTATTCAGATTGGTGGCTTGGGGATTGGACCCCCATCTCTATTTTGAAGCCATATCACATGGGGAAGGAGCCCTCTAACGTAACCAAACCAAGGCAAGGGAAAGTGATTCCTGAGCTGGTGTCCCTTTAGACCTTGCGATGTTCAAATCACCACAATACTTTTATGTGCCATTCCCTACTCAATCCATTTTTTCCTTTTTTCCTGCTTGGTTTCCTTTGGGTTTCACCACGAACTCAAGCCACCCCCCTTTTGTCTTCCTTGGGTTCCCCCCTTTTTCCCCCGCTCAAACCAAAAAATGCGTCGCCGAGTCAGCCTTCTCAAGCGCGGGTCTTTATTTTGTTCCCCTCAAAAATGAGTCGCCGAGCTTTCTCGCGTCAGGTGGTGGAGCTGATTTTGGAGTTCTTGGTGATGACAATCTCCGGGAACATGGACTCCTCGCACCTCCGCATCCTGCGCTTCGCGCGCTTCGCGCGGACGCTGCGCGGGGTGCGGGTGGTCAGGCTGTTGCGGTACATCGGCTCGCTGAGGACGGGGGTGGTTTTGGGGTGTGGTTCTGGGGGGTGGTTTTGGGGGGTGGTGTTGGAGGGTGGTTGGGGGGTGGTGTTGGGGGGTGGTGTTGGGGGGTGGGTGGGGGGTGGGTGGGGGGTGGTTTGGGGGTGGTTTGGGGGCGGGGGCGCGAAGGGCGGCGGTTGAAATTGCACAGGATGAGTCAGTCACGGAGCCGCATATTCGCGGCTTCAGGTTCCCATCTGGCCCTCAGCTGAGCGCCGGTTTTATCTTGGAATGGGGGCTGGTTCTCCCGATCGAACAGGAACCCAGCGGAAAAAATGACACAAAGAATTCGTTCGCACAAAGGTAGTTGGCTAGAATCCAGTTGGCAAGGCATCTGGCAAGCGCTACGGACCGTTATACAATCGGAAGCTAATGTCCAAGGCATTTGTGATGCAGACCCGAATTCTAGCCCTCGTTCTCCCTACTCGTTCGGTTCGTTTAACCAGGAAAGTTACCAGGAGCTATTTCTTGCTTGGCAAGTGATAGATGTGGCATTGAGTGGAGTCCAAAAACAAGTTCGATCTTCTGCCACTTTCCAGTCATTCCAGGCGATTTGGGATGCTTAGTTGGAAGGTTTTCTGCCTGGATCTGCCTGGCTTTGTTTCCCGATTTGCTTCGGGACAAGCTTCGAATCCTGGATCCTGCAACTCTCCTTTGGGGTTTCCATTGAAAACTTGGAAACCGAAGTGAAGCATCGCGAAACAACGGATCAGCCTAGACTTCCGACTGCTCCGAACAGCTGCAACTACAGCATGTTGATCAGATGGCTAGCAAGAACTAAAGACCCAGAGATGTGGCAAAACCCGAAACAACTCGTATCAATGCGAGGACCTTTGCGGAACGGACACAAAAGCAAGACAAATCCGCAATTACCACTGTTTGGACCAGTTCTACTATTCGTGCACCTTCCATCCTTACGTGGTACTCTTGTGGATGAGGAGCGAGGTTTCTCAAGCCAATGGTTCAAGGTGTTTGACAGGGTGGCGCAACTCTACCTAGGAAATTCAATCACCAAGCAGTCCATTTCAATCCGACAGTCCAAACATTGAGGGTCAATGTGATTGGTCTCCTTTTGCTTCCACAAGTTCCCTGATTGAGTGGACTTCCAACTACTACGTGCCCTCTTTTCAGCCGCTTGCGGATCGATGAATCTTTGATTTCCAGATTTCCCGAAAAGGGTGGGTCACAAGACAAACAAGCGGTGGCCATGAGCAGTGGCCACACCATGTCCGTGACCCAAGTCCAGGGTTTGGGGCCTGAGCCAATGGCGTGCATGAGAGCCGTGCAGGACCATAGGTGTTCTTTTTTCGTTGTTTTGCCAGACAAGTAGATGGCGATTCCTGGTTTATCTGGTGGTTTTTCTCATCTACCAGGGATATCCATCTATTTCCCCTAAAAGGACACCTATGTGCAGGACGATCGTCTTCTCCATCATCAGCACCATGGGATCTCTCTTCTGGACCCTTGTGTGCCATGGCAGAGTCGGCTTGCCTCGGGGGTTCCCGAAGACTCGGAGATCCGGCGCGAGTGGGAAGGAACAGCCGGTCATACACCAAGAGGTTTAAGGCAGGTTGACTTGCTTTGTTGGGAATTTATACAGTAGAACACTGTAGGCTCCTCAAAGTACATGTTTGCTAGCCATCGCTTCGTAGGGCATCGATTGTCCACACACCTTCCCGTGGTTGTAAGCTTTCTATCAAGGAATTCATGCAAGCACATGCCAAGTTCTATCCACATTCACAATTCAATACCAACCTGCCAAGGCTCTCCAGACTTGGGAAGTCGATCTGATCTGAGGCTCTTGCTGATGATCTTCTACTGCTTCTCCGTGATCATCACCCAAAGCGTCACAGACTTCTGTCGCCTCAGCGCGGAGTTGGGGGAGCCCCACAACTGCCAGGAGCTCACGATGTATTGGGCCACCGTGCCCGAGAGCAGCTGCGATGCAAGCGAGAGAATGGGGCTCCATGGGGCTCTAGATGTTTTTTGTTTGTTTGGGGGGGATTTTACGTGTATAATATATATATATATATGTATATATATATATACACATGTATATTAGAGGTTTGTTTTGTTTGAGGTTTTGTTAGAGGTGGACTTTGTTTGAGGCGGATATCAGCAGTCAGCCGTCTATGGTTGATTCCGTGGAGGGCTTGGTTTCACGCTGCTTGGAACCGGTTGGTCCCAATCGGTGCGGCGCCTGCCACCCAGTGAACATAAAACTAGCCATATCTTCTGGATGCTGAGGGATGCTGGATACAAGTGGCTGGTGTCACGTTGTATTCCCTTCAAAATCCAACGAGTTCAAGCTCATTTTGCGAACTGAGGGAAGCAAAGGGCAAACCATCGGAAAAAGCGCCCTGAGAAATGATGGAGATAGAAAGGTCATGCCAGCAAGAAAATGAGTGATGGCCCATCTTTTACTTTCCCCTATCACTCATGAACCAAGTCATTTTTCGCTTCTTGGCTGACTGGAAAAGGGAACACAGCCAAGAGTCCGAGGTCCGAGTGGAAGTCTATGATCTATGCTTCTAGTTGAGAGAATCACTCAGGGAAACTTGGGAAGGGTTCACGCCGCCAAGCGGGAAAGAGTGAGAGCTAGAAAGGTGAGGCCACACGATGGTGAGCATAGTTCTGTCACCCATCCCTTCCTTACCTCACATTCATCTCCCCATTCCACCTTCACATCCTAAAGCCGTTCATTTTGGGCACATTATGATGAAGCTGAACAACTGTAAGGAATGGATTTGTGGTAAGTGAGATGAAAACGAGAGACATATGATTACCCCTGCTCGCCGGGTCTTTCCAGCGGTTACACTTTCTCAAGAGAAGCCGGCAAAAGTTTCGGCATGGGAAGAAGGGACGTACATCTTCTTTGGAGAAACCGCTCTTGGTTTGCAATACAAGGAAACCAAAAGGAAGCCACGCGCCTTTCGTGAATTTCAGACCAGCGACTTTTTAGGGCCCCCAATTTTTTTGAGGCCACCGCCAATCGGCATCTGATTCACTCGATTCACTCCCCGGAGCTGAGGCATGCTCACCCTCTTTCTGGCCATCTCTGGGGGGCTCAGCTGGAAGGAGGCCCGGAAAAGCGAAGCTACGCTGATGGTTGCGAAGTCTCTCAGTTGTTCAGTGGCACCAAGCCTTTTTTTTCTTCCCTGTTTTTTGGCGGCTGCCCGGCTGCCCCACTAAAAATGGTCTTCCCCAGAAAGGGTTCTCTTTTGTTCCAGGGTCACTGAACAACTGAGCTCCATGTCGCACTTTTCAGCCCCGCCCTGGGTTCCTGATTCGATTCCCCAACGCAAGTACCAACAATTTCTTTCAAGCGTGGTTTCAGAGTGGTGCGGACGGATTTCGCAACCATCCGCAGTAGGGCGAAAGTAGATGGCAAGTAAGGGGGATGCCCAGAATGGAGGACGCTACCAGGGTTTTGGAGGACTGCTTCCTTTTGACGCCCCAAAACGAAAGTCCACTTCTATGGACAGAGAGTCTTGTAGCCAGAAGTAGCTTCGAGCAGCTCCTTTTGGGTACGTCATTCTTCCGTGTACCCCCTTTTACGTGTTTTTGTTTTTTAGGGAAACGAAGAGGAACACCGAAATCCCATCGTCCGACTCCCAACCAAAGAAAGCCGACGTTCCTCTTCGCTTCGGTGGCCGCGGTGTGGGGTCGATGCGATGCGCGAGGCCTTGAACCCGCTGCGCCGCGTGGGCGTGATCGCCTTCGCCTCGGTGATCTTGTACGTGGCGCCTCGGAGGTTGTTGGACCGGGAGGCGCCGGAACGTCGGAGACCGGCGCCCTCCTGTCCGCCTGAGGCGAGCCAGGAATCGGCCCCCACCCAAACCTGGCTGGGGACGATCTCCCGTACCAGAGGGTAGTTTGCGTCTCCCCTTCCCCCTTGCTTGGGGGGGGAAGGTGGAATGGGAGACGAGAACGCTCGCTTGGGGATTCCACTAGTTTCGCATGATTCTTCTTGCCATCCACTTCGTGATTCCTAATTTTGCAATGTCCTTTGCTGGCATTCCAGCCCACGGCTCAAACATGCAAACGCAAACCCCCCAAAATGAAGAAGCTTCCCCTCTCTGTGGGTGTACCTTGCACCGAATTATTTTTTGGTCAACTCTGATAGATTTCTCTATGAGTATGTCCAACTGAGTTGAACCCCCTTTCATGGTCGGTTTTTGTTGGCATTCGTTTCAAGCCGTTCCGCAAGTGGTCCCTCGTAGTG